TGGTTGGCAAGGCTTAAACAAATGTTATTTTGTAAAGAAATTCACAAATAACATTATCACTGTCTTTTTTTTTTTTTTGGTCAATTTGTCTTTCGGTAGTAACGTAATATTCTTCACGTGGCTTCTAACGTGATGCATACCAGTCTACTTAAGGTCAGCAAATACTGTTCACTTTCTCTAATGAAGTCCTTTTTTCACTCTGACATTATCCGGGGATGTCTTCATTATAGAAATTACACTGCATTCAATCGCACACATGGTGATCCTTTTGTCCCAGCATCCGAGGCAATCCCAGCACCTTCACAGCACCAGCATCTCTCCAAGAGCCTTCCCAAAGAAAAGGGCCATTCAGACCATCCTGCTGTTAGTGAGCTACTTTGTGTTCTGAGAGGACCTCATCATATCATCCTCTTCAACCCTACTGTGGACATATAACCCAGTCATCCTGAGTGTGCGGAACCTGGTGGGCAATGTCTATGCCACTGTTGCTCCACTGGTACAAATTAGCTGATAAAAGGATAGCTGACATTCTCCAAAATATGCAAAGTGCTATAAAGTTTTAACAAGTTAGCAATGGAAAACATTTCTAAATACTAGTCTTATCCCATAAATTGTTCAAGTAGCCTTGGAATTCTTTTTACCTTACTTAATAAAATGCATGGAATCACACTTTTATTAATATTTATCTGATTTCAAAACGGATGCATCCAAAAACCACGTAATTTCTTTAGTTCAATGTCTACCATGGGTAGACATTTCCATGTCAAGTCTATTACACTTTTATTTTCATTTTATCTTGGTAGCAGAAAATGTTTCTCTCGAAGTATACTCTTAACAATTTTCTATCGGCAATCAAATCTCTCAAAGTTTTTACTTCTGAAAAAATTTAATTTACTCTTATTTATGAAAGACACTTTAGCTAAATATCCAATTTTAGCTTTTATACTATGTTTGTTCATTAGAACATCCCTGACTGGAAATAATATGTCAATTTGGAGTTTACATTTAATCTATAACTTATTTTAATGGGTTTAAAATAAAATTTACATGTAAATACTTGAGATCTTCTTTATTAATGAAATTTACTTATACATTAACTATAGCCTCCATGAATAAGGTCCTCAGTCCTTATTCATATTATAAAACAGGTTTGTACCATTTGATCAGTATCTGATTCCCCCAAGACACAGCCCTTGGTCACTAGCATTCTAGTGTCTGTAACTATAATTCAAACCCTTTTCCAGACTCCACATATAATTGAGATAATGCAGTGTTCTTCTTTCTGTGTCTGACTTATTTCACTTAGCCTAATGACCTCAAGATGATCCATGTGGTTGCAAATGGCAAGTTTTTTTTCAAGGACTGAATTGTGACACACACACATACACACATGTGCACACATGCACATACATATATGTTAAATTTCCTTTTGGTTGTTGTTAAGATACAACAACAGGCTGGAGTGCAGTGGTGTCATTATAGCTCACAGTAACCTCTGAATTCTGGGTTCAAATTATTCTCCCATCTCAGCCTCCGAAGTAGCAAGGACCACAGGGGTACACCACCATGCCTAGCTAATTTGTAAGGACATGGTCTTGCTATGTTACCCAAGTTGATCTTGAACTTCTGGCCTCAAGTAATCCTACTCCCTCAGCATCCCAAAGCACTGAGATTACAGGTTTGAGCCACCATGCTCAACTATGTAATATTCTGCTTATTAACTTCTGTGTTAATGGACATTTAGGTTGTCTTCATATCTTATCTATTGTTAATAACGCTTCAATAAACATAGGAGTGAAGATATCTCTTCAATATAGCAATTTTACGTTCCTTGGATATTTACTTAGATGTGAGATTGATGAATCATATGACGGTTTTATTTTTTATTATTTGATGAACCTCCATGCTGTTTTCTATAATGGCTTTACCATTTACATTCCCAGTGATAGTGTACAAAGGTCCCTTTTCTCTACATTCTTGACAACATTTGCTTTCTTTTGAATTTTTGATAAGTATCACCTTAATATTTGTTTGAATGAGATCTCATTGTGGTTTTGATTTGCATTTTTCTCATAATTACTAATGGCTTCTTTAAAAGAATAACATTTAGTTTTTGGCTGCTTTTTTTAAAAAAGTGTCACTTTTTATTGTTACTTTTATTTTGGGGGGTTAAGTTTCATGAGTTTCTTGCAGATTTTGAATACTAATCCTTTATCTGATATTTGGCGTACAAGTATTTTTCTCCAATTCTGTAAATAGCCTTTTAATGACACTGACTGTCTTTCACCATGCAGTAGACTTTTTAGTTTGATGTAGTCCCACTTTTTTCCTGTGCTTTTGGCGTCAAATACAAAAATTTACTGCTAGGACCAATGCCAAAGAATTTTCCTCAGTGTTGTCTTCTAGAAGATTTTTGGTTTCAAGTCCAATGTCTACATCTTTAATATATTTTAAATTAATTTTATGTATGCTGTAAAGGTTGGGTGCAATTTGTTTTTGTATGTGGATATCTCATTTTCCCGACACCTTTTATTGAAGAGTTTATTCTTTTTCCATTGTGTATCTGTATGCCTTTGTTGAAAATTCATTGACTGTATACAGATGGATACATATAGCTGAGCTCCCTATTCTGTTCCAGTGGTCTATTTGTTTGTGTTTATGCCAATATTTTGCAGTTTTGATGACTACAGCTTTGCTATATAGCTTGAAATCAGGCAGTGTAATGCTTCTAGCTTTGTCCCTCTTGCTTAAAATTGTTTGGAGTCTTTTATAATATCACACAAACTGTAGATTTTTTTAAATTTTTGTTGAAAATGCCATTGGAATTCGGATAGAGACTGCTTTAAATAATACACCAATTTGAGTAGTATGAATGTTTTAGTATTAATTTTTCTGATCCATGAACACTAAGTATTTTTAAATGTGTCTTTTCGATAATTGCCTCCATTAATATTTTACAGTTTGTGTTGCACAAATATTTTACATTCTTTATTATATTTATTCCTAAGTATTAGGTTGGTGCAAATGTAATTGTGGTTTTTGCCATTACCAACCTAATACTTTATTCTTTTTGATGTTATGGTAAATGTAACTGTCTTCTTGATTTTTCCCAGGTATTTGTTGTTGGAGGATAAAAATGCAACTGATTTTCTTTACATTGATACAGTATCCTGCAAACTTCCTTAGTTTACCAGTTCTAAATTTTTTTCATGTAATGATGAGCACACTGGCCTGTGTTTACACATTAATTGATAGTATCTATTAAGGTATCACAGTGCCTAGAAGTGTGCTCTGTTGTATTTCTGCTGTGACAAATTCCATAGCATCTTTTAGTCTTAATCTTTTCTTAAATGCTTTGGTTTGGTATTTGATAATAATGTGTGTCTTTGGTTACTTTTTAATTGTGAAACACATTGATCTCCATGACTAGTCAAACTTTCTAATAAAGTTCTTTCATAGTTTTATGTATATTTAGTTAATATAAATCAAAATGGTAAATTTTTATGATAGTTTTAAAGTTACTAAGGTTGAAAATATGTCAGTTTTTCACTGGTCATGAGTCTGTGGTTTCCTTATTTCAAACAATTATATATGTCTATATATATATATGTGTGTGTTTAATGGCTTACAATCTTGCCCAACATATTTGTATATAGTAAGCAAATACTAATCAAAATTATTAATCAAACTATCATCTTCATACTATTCTTCAAATGGCATATTGTTTGTTCTAATTAAAAACTGTTTATGTCTTATATAATTATCAATAAAAATTAGAAAGTCTACTTTGTCTGCCCTCTTGAGAAAATCCAAAGTTAAATGGTATTTTTACTAATTTCCTTTAGAATCACTACCTTATTTTCCTCCACAATAAATGTAAACATTAAGGATAAAATTGTATTTCAATGATCCATTCTACAATAGACTTTGGGTCATTCATTGATTGGGCTGAAGCCTCACTCTATATTATTTCTGATTTTTTCATGTTAACAGCCTAGAAAATCTATTACTCATAGAATATTACGAATTAGAAATTTTTTTTTTTTTTTTTTGAGACAGTCTCGCTCTGTCGCACAGGCTGGAATGCAGTGGCGCGATCTGGGCTCACTGCAAGCTCCACATTCCAGGTTCAGGCCATTCTCCAGCCTCAGCCTCCCAGCCTCACCTGTAGCTGGGACTACAGGTGCCTGCCACTGCACCTGGCTAATGTTTTGTATTTTTAGTAGAGGCGGGGTTTCATCGTGTTAGCCAAGATGGTCTCGATCTCCTGACCTTGTGATCCACCCGCCTCGGCCTCCCAAAGTGCTGGGATTACAGGTGTGTGCCACTGCACCCAGTCGAGAAATCAGTATCTTGGATGTACAAATTATAAAAGTAAACTGAAAAGTATAATATAAAATATACATTTATGTATTATGAATTGTCACTCAAGTAAAGCAGAAATATTAATTTAAAATACTTTCACAAAGAAAAGTCCAGGGCAAAATAACCTATGTAAAACATTCTACCAATATTCAATAAATAATTCATGCTAATTCTTCAGCAGAAAATACTTCCAAAAAATGAAGAAGAGGAAACACTTTCCAATTAATTCTAGAGCACAGTATTACTGTAATACTAAGGCCAGACACAAGTATAATAGAAGGACTGTGGGCAAATATGCCATATTCATATAGACACATACATCCTCAGAAAACATTAGCAAGCTAAATCCAGGCACATAAAATGTGAATATACACCAAGACCAAATGTGATTGTTTTGCAAATGCAGTTGTGACTTAATATCTAAAATTCAATCAAGATAATGCCCAATACTAGTAAAGAACAAAAAATGATCCTGTAAATAGGCACAGAGAAAGTTACAAAAATCAAGCATCCATTCCTGACAAAACCCCCAGCAAACTACTGATAGAATAAGATTTTGAGACCCACTAAGAGGTATCTATGAAAAACCTATAACTAACGTCATACTTAACGGTGACAGACTTGAGCCTCTTTACCTGAAAGTTTGAGAAGGCAAGAATTTCCACTTTAACCACTCTACTCAGCAGTGTACTGGAGGTATTAGCCAGGGAAATTCTACAACAGAAAAAAAATTGTCCAGATTTAAAATAAAAATAGAACTGTCATTATTGCAAATGAAATAATTTTCTGTAAAAAAAGGGATTCACTAAAATATGAGTAGAATTAATACACAAACTTATCCATGTTACAAGACAGAAAACTGGCATGCCAAAGTAGATTATGGTTTATATAAAAGCAACCAACAATTAAAAATAAAATAAACAATTCCATTTATAACGGTATCAATAAAAAACATTAAGAGAAAAAATTTAAGAGAGGTACAGGAATTTTACACAATTTGTAATGCGGAAAGAAATCAAAGATAAACTGAAAATAACTGGAAGTCATCTTATGTTCAAGGATGGTCTGTTTCTAAGACAAAGGACACATGTTTGAGGGGATGGATACCCTACCCTCCAGGATGTGAGTGATTATTATGCACTGTATGCCTGTATCAAAACATCCCATGTAACCCATACTTATGTATACCTACAATAATTTTAAAAATACTTAATATTCTTCGGATAACAATACCCTATAAATTGATTTACAGATTCAATGTAATCCCCTCAAATTTCCAAGTGTATTTTTTTAGAAATTAGAAAGTCTCTCACTCCTTTAAATCAATATATATGTACAGAAAATCAAATTGCACAAAACAATTTTTTAAAAAGAAAAACATAATCAAATGACTTGTACTTCCTAATATCAGTTCTTACTAGAAAGGATAGAGTAGGATTCCGCAGTTTCTTCACATTTTCCGTATGTTCTGACCAAGAATACACAGACACTTGACTGCTCTGTTATTCCGTGGCCTGGACACCTGCATGCTTTCCCCTGCAGACCTGAACCCAAGCCAGGGCCCTGACCATTCACAGACATCAGTAAAGGTGTTGTGTTTAGGTTGTAATTCGAAACACTTAAAAGAAAGTATCCCTGGTCCTGGAACAGATTCCTTAAGCTCTACTATAAACTGCATAACCAGACCCCTCACTGCAGACATATCTAGAAAAAGCATCCTTGGTCTCCTTTTCTCCCAATAAGATGAGCTGCAGTGCCCACTGTGGGTACATCCCTTAAGAAATGCTTTGGGATCATGATACCAGGGTTTAGAGTTTACTTCTTTGTAATCCTAACCCCCTTTATCTCAGAACAGTCTGGGGAAGTCCCTTGTGAAAATTCCCCTGTGGTCACCTTTGGGGCAACTCCAGGTAAGTGCTGAGCTGGAGGAAGAAGTAAGGGAGTCAGCAGAATTTGAAGGAATGAGCTGGGGAAAAGAGGATCCCACTGGGAGATCCTGAGATGCTTGCAAGGGTCTCTGTGGGCTTTGTTGCCTTTCCCTCCCTGATGCATGCGAGCAGCCCCAGAGATGCTGAGATGCTCCAAAATCTCCAGCAGGATACAGGAGGCTGATGGAGGGTCTGAAATTGCAAAGGGTCAGTAAGGAAGTCTGGTGCTTGGACATACAGGGACAGAACTGGTTGGCATCAGCCATGGCGGCCTTCATATTAACAGGCAGGGGAATTGCTTAAAACAGGGAGGTGGAGGTTGCAGTGAGCCGAGATGGCACCACTGCACACCAGCCTGGGCAACTGAGCTAGACTCCATCTCAAAAAAAAAACAGAAAAGAAAATGGGGGTTGAACACAGGTGGCTCAGGCCTGTATACAATTCCAGCACTTTGGGAAGCTGAGGCAGAGAGATCACTTGAGGCCAGGAGTTTGACACCATCCTCGGCAGCATAGCAAGATCCCATCTCAACAATAAAAAACAAAGAAATTAGCTGGGCATAGGGGCAAACGTCTGTAGTCCCAGCTATTTGGGAGGCTGAGGTTGGGGGATTGTTTGAGCCCAAGGGTTTCCAGCTGCAGTGAGGCATGATCAAGCCACTGCACTGCAGCCTGAGTGAGAGAGCAAGAGCTTGTCTCTAGGAAAAAAAACAAAAGACATGCAAGTTTTCACCACCTTCTGAGAGTAACTGACTTTCAGGAGGAATAAAGAAAGAAAAAAAAAAAAGACCACTAAATGGTTGAGGGTGTGTTCCTGGTTAGGCTCAGTTGCTAGCTGAGTAGTATCTGAAAAATTCATTAGTAAAACTAAAGCCCTAGGGATGAGTCATGAAGTTAAATGATGAATGTTAAATTCATTAGAAACGCCCATGGTCTTTCTTTACATGAATTCCAGTGAAAAATTCCTAAGTGCCTAAATAGTAAGGGGTCTGAAATGAGAGCAGCTCTTTACTAAAGACTAAAAAAGGAAACGGCATCTTCAAGAATCATGAGAGAGTTCCATGCTGAAGAAGCTCTAATTTTGCATTTGCTCAAGTATTGATTTGATTTGGCTAATATGACACTAATCTTAGGTAAAGCGTGCAAACAACTCCATCTCCTCATTAATAAAAACTGAGTAGGTAGTCTAGTATCAATTCTGATTTTTAAGAAGCGAGTTAGAAAAAAATTATGGAACCAATAAGATGTTTGAATAGTTACAAGCTATTCAAAGGAGAATTCAAAAAACCACACAATATGAGGACATAAAGTATGAAATAAATTTCACTAATACATTTAAAAATAAACTGATTAGACAGGCAACAACTGGGCACAGGTCTCCTCATCTCCAGCAACACAAACCCAGTCATGCACCTATGGGGTTGAAAAGGTTGCATGGTCAAAAAGGAACTGGTCCGACTTGAGATTTTTTACTTTGCATTTTGAGACAGAGTTTCACTCTGTCACTCTGGCTGGAATGCAGTCGTGCACTCATAGCTAACTGCAGCCTTGATCTCCTAGTCACAGGGGATCCTCCTGCCTCAGCCTCACCATAGCTAGGACTACAAGTGAGCATCACAACTCCCGGCTATTTTTTTTTTTTTTTTTGGTGGAGAGAGAGACCTTGCTACGTTGCCCAAGCTGGTTGCAAAACTCCCACCAAGAGATCTGCCCACCTCGACAACTGCAGTAACTGATTCTACAGACACATACCACCATGCCTGGATAATTACATGTTATTAATTTTTATTTGTGTAGAGAAATCTTGCTATGTTGCCAAGGGTGGTCTCAAACTCCCGGACTTAAAACAATTCTCCCATCTCTGCCTCCCAAAGTGCTGACACTACAGGCATAAGCCACTGCATCAGCCTGACTTGAGGTTTCTTTAATCTAGCATCCCATACTTCATATAATTGCGAAAGCCAGTACTGTTTTTTATTATTCTTATTATTATTACTTAGTATTTCAACAAGAATCAACCATCTCTCAGGACCGGGCACGGTGGCTCATACCTATAATCCCAGCACTTTCAGAGGCTGAGGCGGGCGGATCACAAGGTCAGGAATTCAAGACCAGCCTGATCAATATGGTGAAACCCCATCTCTACTAAAAATGCAAAAATTAGCCAGGTGGGCTAGCAGGCGCCTGTACTCCCAGCTACTTGGGAGGCTGAGGCGGGAGAATCGCTTGAACCTGGGAGGCATAGGTTGCAGTAAGCTGAGATCACGCCACTGTACTCCAGCCTGGGCAACAGAAAGAGACTCTGTCTCCAAAAAAAAAAAAAAAAAAAATTCAACCATCTCTCACCATTGCCATGACCCTGGTCAGAAACACGTTATCTCCTGCCTGGATGTTGCCACATTCAGGACTCCTGTTTCTACCCAAATCTCCCCACAATCTTTCTCAACTCAGCAGCCAAGGGATGTTTTTAAATCAGAAGAAAGATCACGTTGCCTCTCTGCTCAGAACCTCCCGCAGTTCCCATCCCAGTCAGAGTAAAAGTCAAAGCCCCAGCAATAGCCTCCCAGGGCTTACACAATCTTTACTGATCTCAGCCCGACAACTCCCTGGCCTCCTCCCCTACTTCTCTTCCCCTCCCACTCCCCCAACTCGGCCCCACTGGTCTCTTTCCTGAGCTTCAGACACATCACGGAGTTCCCTTCTAGCAACTTTATCCTGTTGTTTCTGCCTACAATGTTCCTACCTCAGCACCTTGGCCAGCTGCTTCCCCTACTTCAAGTCTTTGCTCAATTTTCACTTAGGGCGACCCTGGCCACTCTATTTAATATTGCCATCTGTACCCATTCCTGCCATGCTCACTCCTTTTTTTTTCCCCCCCCACAAAATCTCGCTGTGTCATTCAGGCTGGTGTGCCATGGCATGATCACAACTGAGACCTCGAACTCATAGGTGAAGCAATCGTCCTGCCTCAGCCTCTCTAATAGCTAAGACTACAGGTGCATGCCACCACACCTGTTAATTTTTTAAAAAAATATATACGGCATCACTATGCTACCCAGGCTTGTCTTGAACTCCTGGGCCAAAGCAATCCTCCTGCCTCAGCTTCCTAAATACCTGGAATTATAGGTGTGGGCCACCACCCCTGGGTTCATGTTCATTTCTTCTTGCAGCTGTTACAAACTGCCCTACATTGAGTGCCTTAATACACCACAAATCTACCACCTAACAGTTCTGGGAGCCAGAAGTCCAAAATAGGTCAATTAAGGCTAAAGCCAAGGTGTCAGCAGGACTGCATTCCTTCTGGAGGCTCCAGAGGATGTGTTCCCTTGCCTTTCCCAGCTTCTAAAAGCCACCCCCATTCAATTGGCTCATGGCCCCTAACTGCATCTTCAAAGCCAGAAGCGAAGCATATTCAAATCTCCTTCTCTGACCTCTGCTTCCATCATCACATCTCCTCCAATTCTGACTCTCTTACCTCCCTCTTTCTCTTATAAAAACCCTTGTTAACTGCTAGACACAGTAGTCGTGGCTCACACCCATAATTCCAACAGTTTAAGAGGTCAAAGCGGGGAAAGGCTTGAGGCCAGGAGTTCAAGACCAACCTGGGAAACATAGCAAGATCCCCAACTAAACAACAAAACCAAAAAGAAATAAGAAAAGAAAAAATTAGCTGGGCATGGTGGTATGCATCTGTATTTTCAGCTACTTGAGAGGCTGAGGTGAAAGGGTCGCTTTAGCCCAGGAGATCGAGACCAGCCTTGGCAACGTAACAAGATCCCATCTCTACAAAAAAATACAAAAATTAGCTGAGCAAGGATGGTGTGCACCTGTAGTCCCAAATACTTCAAAGGCTGAGGCGGAAGAATTGTTTGAGCCCAGGTGGTTGAGGCTGCAGATAGATATGACTGCATCATTACACTCCAGTATGGGTGAAAGAGAGACACTTTGTCCAAAAAGAAAAAGAAAAGAAATACACATTTGGTTTCTGCCCTTATCCCGGCACAGAGCTTCTAAAGTTCTCATAAACTTCTCAGTGATAAAGGTGATAGGAGCATCTTCTGTTTCAATATTTGGTCTTAGTCCCAGGTTTCTAACACAAGAACCTCTAAGACCTTTGGGATCTCCACCATAGTAAGAATGCATTTGATGATGTTACTGAGATGACTGGGTGACTGAAAGCTCCTAGACAGCTTCAGGAGGAGGGCTGGTTGCCAGAAGAGCAAACCATGTGATTAGAGGCTTGGAACTGTCAGCCTCACCTATTGAGCTCCAGAAAGAAACAGTGGCTGAAGATTGACTTAATCACCAACAGTCAACTGATTTCATCAATCATGCCTGCATAATGAAGCCTTCATAAACACCCTAAACAACAGGGTTTGCAGAATGTCTGGGTTGCTGAACACAAAGGGGATACTAAGAGGTAACATGCCCAATAGAGGGCATGGAAGCTCTGTGCCCCTTCCCACATACCCTGCCCTGTGCATCTATTTCCCTTTTTTTTTTTTTTTTTTTTTTTTGAGACAGGGTCTGGCTCTGTCTCCCAGGTTAGAGTGGCACAATCGTGGATCACTGCAACCAGTATGCCTCCCTAGTTCAAGCCATCCTTTCACCTCAACCTCCTGAGTAACTACAAGTGTAGGCACATGTCACCGCACCAGGCTAATTTAAAAAAAAAAAAATTTGTAGAGATGGGGTTTCAGTGTTGCCCAGCCTGGTCTTAAACTCTTGAGCTTAAGCGATGCTCCTGCTTCGGTCTCCCAAAGTGCTGAGAATACAGGCAGAAGCCCAGCATGTGTACATCTCTTTCATTGGCTGTTTCTGAAATATATCCTTTACAATGAACCAGTAATAGAAAGTAAATTGGTGAGATCCAGTGGCTCACGCCCATAATCCTAGCACTTTGGGAGGTTGAGATGGGAGGATCATGTGAGCCCAGAAATTTGGGACCAGCCTGGGCAACATAACAAGACGCCATCTCTACAAAACATAAAAGAACATAGCCAGATATGGTGGTGCAGGCCTGTACTCTCATTGGGAGGCTGGGGCAGGAGGATCACGAGTCCAGGAGTTCAAGGCTACAATGAGCTTTGATCACACGGCTGAATTGCAGCCTGGCAACACAGTAAGACCCTGTATCTCAGAAAAAAAAAAGAAAATAACCTGTTTTTCTGAGTTCTGCAAGCTGTTCTAGCAAATGATTCAAGCGAAGAAGGAGGTCATGAGATCCTGGTTTCTAACTGATTGGTCAAAAGTACATCTAACAACCTAGGACTTGCAATTGGCATGTGAAGTGAAGGTAGTCTTGTGGGACTGAGCCTCTATCCCGAAGGGTCGGCACTAACTCCAGGTAGTGTCAGAATGCAATTGGGGGATACCCAGTTGGTATCCAGATTGTCCGAAAACTGGTGTAGAATCTCCACATGCACATTTGGTTGGAAGTGTTTGACCACAGCTACTATTCAAGAGAAAGAACTACTCATTATTTTAAAAAAAAAAAAAAACATAAAATTATGTTCTACAAAAAACAAATCAACCTTATCTACAGCCCAGTCCTACTCAAATATGGAATGTTAGAACAAAAAGTCTCATCATGGACTCGAGAGCTGACATCAGGAATGTCACAGCCATCCTGCTCTCTGAGAACTCATCTTCAACAGGCAGGGGGGACACTGCAACTTGGGCCATGATCCCTGCACAAGTAGTAAAAAAATGAGTAGTAGAAATCCAGGGTCCTAAACCCATATCCAGAGCGGTAAGAGTTTTTCACCGGCTGGCTAATTTACAGTGGTCTTGCATCAGAGGAAAAATAAGGCTCAGAAACTAGGTATTCAAGTTACCCAAAACTCTCATCAGATACAGAATCCATCTGCTAACTTTCTATCTAGTATTAATTCCATAAAGTTAGAAAAATATCACTCCAAAAATAAATCCATATGGCACCTAGCATCAATGCATTTCTCCCAAGTAAAAGAGGAGGCAAGGTGCTTCACAACTCAGTGATGGGTTACCACAACACAGGACAGTGGTACAAAGCTCCCTTTCTCCCCCGCATAACCCAACACAGAAAAGAGTGGGTGCAGTGGAATGAGGCTGGGTGAAGAGAAGTTCCTCTTCTTACTGAGAAAATAGATCACAGGGCATCAAGTAACATGTAAAAGTCTTTACAACAAGGCATTTTTTAAAAAAACATTTTCTAATATTTTGGTATCAGGAAAACCCTCAGATGAATTTCAAACACTATAAAAATGCAATACATAAACAGAAAATATTAACTGTTAACAATAATAGAGATAAATTGGAACCTTTATGGATTGCTTTTTGGAATGTAAAATGTTACAGCCCACTGTGGAAAACGGTTTGGTAGTTAACGTATTAAGCATAGAATTACATGATCCAACAACACCCTTTAAGCTCTATACCCAAAAGAACTAAGAGCAGGGACTCAAACAGGTATTTGTACACCCGTTTAATAGCAGCATTATTCACAGTGGCCAAAAGGTAGAACCAGCCCTATGCCCATCGGTAGGTGAATAGATAAAGAAAATGTAATATACACATACGCAGAATATTATTCAGGCATTTAAAAAAAAAAAAACTCACCAGGTTCAGCAGCTTACACCTGTAATCCTAGCACTTTGGGAGGTCAAGGCGGGCTGGTCGCTTAAGCACAGAATTTTGAGACCAGCCTGGGCAACACGGCAAGACCTCACTTCTACAAATAAAATTTTTTTCTTAAAAAAGGAAATTCTGATAGTGTTACGAGCCTTGACAGCATTATGCTAAGTGAAATAAGCCAGACACAAAAGGACAAATATTGTACAAGTCCACTTATATAAGGTATTTAGAATAAACAAATTCATAAACAGAAAATAGAATAGTAATTGCCAGGGGCCAGGAGGAGGGTTCAATGGGGAGCTATTGCTTATGGGGTACAGAGCTGCAGTTTAGAATGATGACAAAGCTCTGGAGATGGAGAGTGGTGATGGCTAACAATGCGGATGTGCTTAAAACACCAGGGACCTGTGTGCCCTTAAAAATGGTTAAGTGTTATTTTGTATTATGTATATTTTATCAAAAAATAAAAATAAAACACCAAAACAGTACACCACATAAGGACGTACTAAGATGGCAAAATCTAAAGCAACTTTTTAAAACCCAGATAGTTTTTCTGTAAACAGCATACGAATTAAATGCTTATTAAAAATTTGCCCCTTTAATTTAGTTGAATTAATTCTACTTTCAGAGATTAAATAATTAAATACACTTAATTGGAAGCATAACTGAAAAGCTAAACACTGAATGCAGGAAGAGGAACTGTAAAAACACATCTATGTACATAAACTAATTTACTGACAACACTCGAGTATCCCTTAACTAAAGCCCCAGTATTACAGAGAAGATGGACAAGCACTTGAAAAGCTGTCAGCAGGAAACTGTTATACCTAAAAATGTCAATAAATCTGAATTAAAGAGAATGTTCTATTTTTCTATTATTAAAGGTTGTCACCGAGCGTTACCATCTGTTACCATGTGCACTGACTACTAGGCCAGATTTAGACATCAACAAGTAATGAAGCATACATACTTAGGAAGTTACAATTTATAATAAAAACTATGATCAGAAAAATAGTATTTGCATCATGAAGACCTTCAGTTACCACTTAGTTTTCATCCTCATAGGCTTTATTGATCAATATAGTAAAGACGTATATTAACTCTTATAACTTAAAACAACTTGTTGCCTAGGAAAGCATACCAAAAAGAATCATCTTTTATTTCCAAGACAGGTGTTTTAAGAATAATATAATCTGTAAAAGAGAATAGACATACAACAGGCCAGGCATGGTGGCTCACGCCTGTAATCCCAGCACTTTGTGAGGCCAAGGCAGGCGAAATCACAAGGTCAGGAGATCGAGACCATCCTGGCCAACACGGTGAAACCCTGTCTCTACTAAAAATACAAAAATTAGCTGGGTGTGGTGGTGCGTGCCTGTAATCCCAGCTACTCAGGAGGCTGAGGCAGAAGAATCCCTTGAACCAGGGAGTCGGAGGTTGCAGTGAGCTGAGATCATGCCACTGCACTCCAGCCTGGTGATAGAACAAGACTCCATTTCGAGGAAAAAAATAAAAAATAAAAATACAACAAATACAGTAACACATAAAATCTCTTTTTCTTTTAACCTTCTGCTGGTCCTTCAGTTGCTGCTGGTACTGTTCCGTCATTGCCTTCTGAAGAATGATGGCTTCCTAAAAAGAAAATAAACATATAATAAACCAATAAAAACTCACAGTGAAAGACAAAAGAGAATCTAGATAACAATGCAATCATTTTTAAGATATAATAAACATGAAAAATGATTTTTTAACTCAATGGAAAAAATACTTTCTAATTCAGAAAATATTATAACACTTCTATTTGGAAGCTAAAAAATATTATTTTAGAATACAAATACAGAGTAGACCAAAGTAGGTTTGTGGATTTAACATTAGTTACTGTAACTGTATGATAAAATTACTGGATATTGCAACCTGAAGAAGCACAATTATGCTTCAAGTACCATGCTCATCTGTCTCACTCACACATACACACACACACACACACACCCCGAAGTGTGAATGCTTGCTTTGCTCAGACACTTAATTAACTTTCTATAAATAAGTTCAGGGTTTGCTGTAGAATGCTTCCTGCTTTCCATTTTCACTATGGTGAAAGCTATGGAAACTCGATCCCCATAATTTAATCAAGTTGTACTTAAAGTAACTCATAAGTAAAAATTTAAGATCCTATCTTCAGTATCAAGAAAACATTTTAATCCGGGTAATATAATCTGCTTGCTTCTAAAAACTGGGACATAAAGCAATAGATCAGTTAGGCAGTCACATGGTAAACAGGTTTATCCTACTGGAGCAGAAGTTTATTCACAAATAGGAAAGAAAGAATCTAAGATTATCAGAGCTCCAGTAAGGATTAAGACCACAAGTTGCCCCTAGAATACATCCACTGTCCTTAAAGATCTGAGCTACTAACATGGAAAAGATTGAAAAACACTGCCTTCAAGTATAAATAAAAATGTATTACATTTCGGAAGAATACATTGCTTAGGGGGAAGGGAAGCAGATGCTCATCTATTTTGTCCTATCTATTGATAAATAAATTCAGAAGCTGTACTAAAACTAAAATAAAAGTTATACATACATTTTCTCTTAATTTTTAAAGAGTAATGATTAGTCTGAAAAACTCATTTGGTGGTTACTGTTCTTGAATTAAAAGTGCCATACTGAGGTGAAATCTTTTTGGTTTTCAATACCTAGCTTTATTATGTCACAATTATCTTGGGATTCTTTTCAACTTACTGCATATTGTGAAAACTCACCTGAATTCAAAACTCTAGGTAAATCTACAAACATCTGTGAATCCATCTTTAATTAACTTCTAAAACACACTTTCTCTGCACACATTTCCTTTCTCTTTTTTTAACTTTAATATTTGGATTTAGGAAGCATTAAGTTCTTTGACTGTAAAGTCAAAGAAAAAAGAGATATGAGGTCAAAGGAACGATAGATAATAAAGAAGAGGCCGGTAATTAAAAAGTAAAATTTCAGTAAAGAATGACAGTTAAGATCGTTGTTCATGTTACTACCTGAACACCAAGGGTTTGGTCCAGGTCCTGCTGCTCACCAGACAGTAACTAGTCATTGAGGTGACAAGTATTACCAAGCAAGAAAGCTTTAACCTGGTGCTGCAGCCCAGGAGATAGGGGCTCAGTCTCAAATTTATCTCCCTGACTGACTAAAACTAGGGTCAGGAAAGAAATGTAATAATGTGTAAGAGAACAGAAATTAGAGAGGGGCAGGAGGCAGCTGGTGCTGAGATCTGACATTTTTCAGTTATTTGATACTTACTGAAGGTCTTTTTTTGAGGAGAGAACTCAGATAAAACAGATACAAGTTTCAAGGTTTAACAGCAGGGTCAACTCTTACGTTGATCCAAACAAAACCCTATCCATGGGACAACTGGGCCGGTGTCAATGTAAGCAATAATTCTATAGGTCCTTTTTGTTTAAAATCTGAACAATTAAATTTATATTATATGCTAAACATAAGGAAAATACATCTTATGTACTCAAGGCCAGAAGAGATAGAAGTAAAACCTACTACTAATAGCCTATGAGTGTCAAGTTTGGGAACACTATAAAAAATTACAAAAAAGTAATAAATGCATAAAAGTTACAAATTAACAAGTGCTATTTCAGAATTCTTCTAAATACTAAGTACATGAACTTACTAATATTTGCATTACTAACCACACAATAAGAACCCGACTTCTGACTATTCTGAGATAAGGTATAAACGTGTACCTTTACCTTAAATGGGAAAGTGTGTCTTGTACCCACTTTGAGATTCGTGAAAGGGAAAACTGATTTGAAAAATGTTTGCTTGTCAAGTTCATTTATATGTTAAGAAAAGGTCAATACAATTTTTCCTTTTCAATGTAGAAAAGTAATACATAATACTATAGTTATAAATACTAAAACACAGTCTGTGGAATACAAGAAAACATTAAATACAAACACTACGTAGGAAAATGGAGGTAAAAAGATGATACCTTGCAAAGACTTCAGTAGAAGATTTTTATCAACGTCATCGCTTTCAAAAGGGCATGTTTTAGGATACAAAGATAATACTTCAACAGTAACCCTCCCTCCCCAGGCTAGAGGCAGTGACTTATGCCTGCAATTCCAGCACTTTGGGAGGCCAAGACAGGCAGATCACTTGAGGTCTGGAGTTCGAGACAGACCTGGCCAACAGAGTGATACCCCATCTCTACCAAAAAATACAAAAATTAGCTAGGTGTAGTGGCATGCACTTATGTAGTCTCAGCTACTCGGAAGGCTGAGGCAAAAGAATCCCTTCAACCTGAAAGGCGGAGGTTGCAGTAAGCCCAGATTGCACCACTGCACTCCAGCTTGGGCGACAGAGTGAGAATCTGTTTAAAAAAAAAAAAAAAAAAAAAAAGTCATGTTTACATAGAGTTAGGCTGCACAGCTCACTCTCTTAACCATCCTGTAATTCTGCCCACTCTATGCTATGCTCAGTCACTGACGCACTTGTTTGGTAGCTCCCTTAGAGCTTAGAACCTAGGTTTTATGTCCTGCTCTACAGCTATATAATTTAACAATTTTCCTCTTGAGTTTGTTGGATTCTAACCCTATATATAACAAATCTTATTAATAGTACTGAATCTTAAAGGAGGCTGTGATGTCTTTAGTCCCTAGAAATATTAAACAACCTATAAACAAACGACCATATGAGAGTAAACAATCCAAATTTCTACATGCTTTAAAACACTGAGGCAATGTACTGAGAAACACACCTAAGAAACTGCAACCAATCTACTCTGGACAAAAATTTAGACACTGTCTCTTCAAAATAAGCTATCTGGTGGTACTTATGCATATTCTTACATATAGCAACAGTATTTTACATGCCATAACCTTAAAAATAATTTTAAAAATGTCAAAATTATAAGCCTTAATCCATCTCTGTGGGCTTGAAAAATGATACAATATACATTTGTTTCTTTAAAGTATTCAATAAAATGCATAAACTTCTAGAGCAATCACTGAAAAAAGGGTTCATACTAAAGGTTGTAATACTAGGAAAGAGGGCTCAGTACTGCAGGTTCTTAAAGGCAAAAGTTAATAAAGCCTTGCTTTTGGTTGTGAATCCTGGCCTTAAAACATTATTCACATGATCTCCCCTTCCTTTTCCTATTGTAAAGATGTGGTGACAAACCAGGTTTGCTCATGCAGATAATAATCTTGAAAACAGTGGCAGAGAAATAACATGAAGGGAATATAGTTTACTTAATGACCTCCTAAATTGGAACTTATTACCCCATGCCTCTTGCATATCTCCAGACTAATATAAAAGAGGTATGAAATGGCTGTTTCCTACCAGTATTTTATTTGATGCTTCATTTTTTTTTTTATTACTTGTATAACTACCTACAATGCGTTAACAGGAACAGGAAAGCATAGCTATTCAAGTAACTAAATAATTATATAAATCTCTAAGACATAGTAATGGACCAATTATTTTTAAAGTACAACACACTGACAAGTAGTTTATTTTTAACTCAGTTTTGGTTTGTTGTTAATGCCATTGCTTGGGAAAAAGCAAACAAAAGCAGGAGGAGGTGAAGGAGAAACAAGAATAGAAACAAGAAATAGAACCAGCAGCATAAGCAAGTAAAGAGGAACGAGATGATGATGATGATGAGAATAAAACAGACTGGAAGAAAGGAAAAAGAACAGGTGAGGGAACCAGAAGGCCTATTATGATACCTTTTTTCCCCTCCTTGATTCATGAAAACTGAAAAAGTTCAAGACTTTTTTACAACAACAACAAAAAAAAACAAGTAAAAAGATACACAATCACCCCCTAAATTTTGTTAAGACTGAGATAATGCTCCATTCACGTCTGGCTCAGGTGCCAGCAGAAGGAAGGGACCCTCCAGATTCTACAGAAGAAGGGGGAGGACTCCTCCTTGCCCTGACGGCACCTCCACTGCTACCACCGAGGCCACGGCACAGCACCCACAGCTTCCTACCCATGCCAGGCCAGGTGGCTCCGCAGCGCTCCTACTCCCACTTCCCAGGACCCCAGACTTGCGCTGCTGCCACCCTAGGGCCAATGCCAATACAACCACCGCTGCTGTCGCCCTCGATGCACTGGCGCTCCCTACAAGGCTCTTACCACCTGGCCACAGCCACAGCCCGCCCCCCAACCTGGCCACAGACGGCGGCCCTCCTACCTACTCCTCCAAAGCACCAGCCACCGCAGCCAGGCCAAGCCCAGCCGCCCACGTCCCAGGCTCCAGGCTCCAGCCTTCATTTCCAGCGTGTGGCAGGTTGTTCCTCCTTCTGGCACGGAGCAGCTGAGCCAACAAAGTCAGAAAAGCCTAGAACATGATGCAGGGAGTGGTAACGTTAGAGCCTAACCTCGTCATAGTGGCCACTGGGTGGCAGTGACAGGTTTCAGTTAACTGGAGACTCCACAGTGGCCTGCTCCCCATCCACAGGAGCCGTTGGGCCCACCGGGGCTGCGGCTCCTCGTCGAGCAAAAACAGCAAAACTCACACCCAGCCACCACCACCCCGCCTGCCCTGTCCCCCTCCCCCGCGCCCCCGCCCAATCCGAGTGCCAGTTTCCGTTCCTAACGCCTCCACCCACAGGGCCCTGTCCCCCCATGACGCCTGCTACACCGTGTCCAGGGATCCCAGGTTGTCTCAACACAGAGCAAGAGGACGCAGACCCGGGAACCATGACGGTGTCGGGCCCTGCCATGCTCCTGATTCCCATGGAAACGCTGTGCCCCACCGGGCTAAATCCACGAGCATAGGAGGTCCCCTCTAGATTCTGGAGCCTGGCTCCTTCCTTGGAGGCCACCGCTGTGGCGCCACCTTTGCCACCACCAGCAGTGTAGCCCTCGATAGTGTCCCGAACACCCCCACACTCCCAGAAGTGTAACCACCGATAGCGCCCCCAACCCGTCCTCACCTCGACACCCAATAGCGACCCCAAACCGCCCCCATACCGGAAGAAATGACGCTAGAACAGCGCCCCAACCCGCCCTCCGTCCCCGAGCACCACAGCCCTGGATAGCACCCCAACCCCCTCCCAGCTGCAGGCAGTGATGCCCGGAATAGCGCCCCCACGCAGTGGCAGTGCAGTTGAGGATACGCACCTACCGTGGCCGCCTTTCTACCACTCTGGCAGCTGTGCCGTCTCTGTTGCAGCCACCAGCCTCAGCGAGCGAGCCGCTGTGCCACAGGCTCCGGCCTCCAGCTTGCGTCAGCGGAAACCACCTTCTCCTCCCGCTATAGCACCGTACGAGCCAGCTGCTAGTCCGCCATCTTACTGCTCCGGCTGCACTTCAGTCTCTGTTGTCGCCACCAATGTTCTGATGGATGAAAGAAAACCTCTAGGCTTATTCTGATGGGCTTTCCTATCATTTCTGATGGTTAGCCTAAGGCTGCTCTCATCCAATCAGAACATGTAGTCCAGGAACCTTGGTATATAAAGCCTGCTAAGCAGGAGTCAGCCCGTTCCAGGCTCTTTTGCTCTGTGTGTTCTGCTGGTGGTGCCCAGCTTAGAAATGGGGAAGGGGCTGGGCATGGTGACTCATGCCTGTAATCCCAGCACTTTGGGAGCCGAGGCCGGGATCACGAGGTCAAGTTTAAGACCAGCCTGGCCAAGATGGTGAAACCCCCGTCTCTGCTAAACATACAAAAATTAGCCGGGAGTGGTGCTCCTGTAGTCCCAGCTACTTGGGAGGCTGAAGCAGGAGAATCGCTTAAACCCAGGAGGCGAGGTTGTAGTGAGCCAAGATCGCGCCACTGCAGTCTAGCCCAGGTAACAGAGCAAGAATCCATCTTGGAGGAAAAAAAAAAAAAAAAAAAGGAAGGGGGAAAGAAAGAGCCACCTGCTGCATGCTGGAGGCTGTAGCCTACAGCTGCACAGCTGGGCTACTGCAGTGAGTGGCAGTGATGCAGCATGCAGGAGCAGTAGGATCTGGATGATTTCCAGCTTCATCCATGTCTCTGCAAGGACATGAACTCATTCTTTTTTATGGCTGCATAGTATCCATGGTGTATATGTGCCACATTTTCTTTATACACCAAGCAATAAGATTATCATCTGGGAGGCCAGGTTGCAGTGCTCACGCCTGTAATCCAGCACTTTGGGAAGCCAAGGCAGGCAGATCATGAGGTCAGGAGCTCGAGACCAGCCTTACCAACACGCTGAAACCCCATCTCTACTAAAAATACAAAAAAAAATTAGCCAGGATGTGCACGTGCCTGTATTCCCACCTACTCAGGAGGCTGAGGCAGGAGAATCACTTGAACCCAGTAGGTGGAGATGCAGTAACCTGAGAATGAGCCACTGCACTCCAGCCTGGGAGACAGAGGGAGACTCCCATCGCATAAATTAATTAATAATTAATTAATTAAATTTATCATCTGGGTATCAGCGAGAGGACTAGCTAGTTGGGTACATGGAATTAGAATTCCTGAATGAAAAATCAAAATTAAAGTTAAGAATATTATTGGTCTATATAGCATTTACAGAAAGGCCAAAGAGACAATATTCCAGACTATAGAGGTTAGAGAAAATCAAGTTATCTATCTAAGAGCACATTTTGTATTTTTTTTTTTTTTTTTGAGACAGAGTCTTGCTCTGTCACCCAGACTGGGAGTGCAAGTGGCGTGATCTAGGCTCACTGCAAGCTCCACCTCCCGGGTTCATGCCATTCTCCTGCCTCAGCCTCCTGAGTAGCTGGACCACATGTGCCCGCCACCTTGCTCGGCTAATTTTTTGTATTTTTAGTAGAGAAGGGTTTCACTGTGTTAGCCAGGATGGTCTCGATCTCCTGACCTTGTGATCCACCCGCCTCAGGCCTCCAAAGTGCTGGGATTACAGGCGTGAGCCACCGCGCCAAGCCCAGCCTCCTTTTCTTTCAATTTTGGCATAACACAGAACTCAGCAAAACTTTGACAGTAAATACTATTTACCAATATTATTGTCTTCTCTATCTACTTGTTTTATTTACTGAGAAAAATATGTCAGCGTAATCACAGAAGCAACCTAATGAATAAACTACACCTTGATTATAAGAAAGAATGAAATTGATTCCATCCTCTTGAATACAGAGTTTAAAAATTCTTAAGTGAACTATGGCTTATTGAGTACATCACAATACTTTT